CTCTCATTCTCTCCCTCTCTCTCTCTCTCTCTTTCTCAAAATAAATAAACTTAAAAAAAATTAAAAATCGGGGCACCTGGGTGGCTCAGTTGGTTAAGCATCTGACATCAGCTCAAGTCATGATCTTGCGGTTTGTGGGTTTGAAGCCCACGTCAGGCTCTGTGCTAGCAGCTCAGAACCTAGAGCCTGTTTAGGATTCTATGTCTCCTCCTCTCTCTGCCCCTCCCCTGCTCATGCTCTGTCTCTCTCTGTCTCTCAATAATAAATAAACGTTAAAAAATTTTTTTTAATTAAAAATCCATTCTTCATTGCTGTGCTTACAATAGTGGAACATTTCTGACAGGTAGCATGTTAACCTTTATCAATGGAGAGTTCTAGACACTACAAAAAGAAGCAGGTTTCTTCCTAGTTCTGTCATCTCTCTCTGCTTAATCCTAGGGCACTGCATAGTATACCTAGTAGAGCTCACCTCCAAAAAGTTACAATAGCACCACCCCATAGGTGTCTTCCTCATAAGGTCCCTGGCATGGCTCATTCCCTCAGGTAGCTTCTCCTAGAACTTCTTACAAAATCTACCAGTGCAGAAACCCCTTCAGGAATCTTTCCAGCATACCACCCTTGGAGACAGTAAAAGGAACAGCACCTCTCCAGAAGATGGCTTTCCCCAGTACCAGAGAGGATGGCTTCCCAATGTATCACCCTTATGACCAACTTCCCAGTAAGTCCTGGTTCCACCAGTATGGCACCCCAGAAAACTCAGTGATGACAGCTGCTCCTTCTTCACAAGTTCTGGACCTTAGCCCTGGGTTAGGGACAGGGTAAGGATGGGGGTATTAAGATTCGTTCCTTCTTTAAGTACTTTGCTTCCATCCTATCAATAGAGGCTGTTCCTTATATCTTCTATCCCTATATTCTTTAGAGTTGCCTTTACCTCTTGGTAGGGATTCTCCTATATTAGTAATTCTTTATGTTGAACTTTCCCTATTCAAATTACAGTGTAGTTTTTATCTTTTGATTAGACCCTAACTGATACATTGCATTTCCTGTTAAGAATTCAATTTAAACATGAGTCCTTTCTGGGAGAAGAGATGATATCACAGAACTAAAGGAATATGGAATAGACAATGAGATTATCAGCTACAAGATTTCATCAAAGACACCTACTTGGCACAGGTTCCAGCAGAACAGCTCTGAAATACATAGCCTATGTGCTAATCCTACATTTCTCTAGTGCAGCTCACCACACATTCTGAAGGCTTCAACATGTATCTCTGTTGATGTAACATGACCGCAGGCATTAGCCTCACCAGCATGTACTATCAATAAAATGTGTCAGCAATAAAAACAAGATTATTCCAAGATTCTCAAATGCTAGTATACATAATAATCCTCTAAGAAATCCTATTAAGGGGCACCTGGGTTGCTCAGTCAGTTGAGCATCCAACTTTGGCTCAGGTCATGATCTTGTGGTTTATGAGTTCGAGCCCCATGTCAGGCTCTGTGCTGACAGCTCAGAGCTTGGATCCCGCTTTGGATTCTGTGTCTCCCTCTCTCTGTTCCTCCCCCACTCGCACTCTGTCTCACTGTCTCTCTCTCAAAAATAAAGAAAGAATAAAAATTTTTTTAAAGAATTCCTATTAAAAAGGCATATTGCTAACCTATACACATACAAAAAGAACTTTAATTCAGGAACTCTGACATGGAGTTCTGAAATGGGCATTTCGAACAGGTATCCTGGGTAATATTTAAACATGATCCATCAAACATATTTAAGAAACCATTCATCAAAAGTCATAAGATAATACAAACACATTGGCAATGTATCTAATACACACCAAATTTAGTAGTTATTCATAATAATTAATTATGGATTTAAAAACTGAAAAATTTGGAATTCCTGACCAGAAGTTTAGTTCTATACTAAAGGTTCCTCCTTGTGAATATGAATGCATACACCAGGATTTCAGAAATACTGGAAATGATGGTAACTGGCACTAAAGTGTAAATAGTAGATACAGAGAAAGATCAACATATATGAAAGCTATTTAGGACATAAAATCAAAAGGACTCAGGAATGTATTGAATATTAAGAAATCAAGTTGTCAAGGTTAATCGCCACACTTCTGTTTTACCCAACTGGATAAAACATTCACTGAGACAGGGAACACTGGAAGAAGTGTAAGTTTAAGGGTAAAAAAATTCTTGGTTTTGATCCATTGGGTGTGAGGTGAAATAGTCTAGTAGGTAATTATATACCCATCTGGAGTTCAGAGGATGATTTTGAGCAAGAAGTGTACATTTCTAAATTACCAGTATAAATGTAACACTTAAATTGAAAAACCGGTTGTGGTTGCCTAGGGGTAAGTTTAAAGTAAAGAAAAAAAAAGGAGGATATAGAATGAAATCTCAAGGCGCTCAAATATTTATTGATTATAAAATAAAGGTGGTTCTAAAAAGGAAACAGCTAAAGAGGTAAAACAGTGGCCAAGAAAGCATAATTCACAAAAGTCAAAGAAATAGTGTTTTAAAAATGACGAAATGATTGACAATGTCAAGTATAGCTAAGGTAAAGAAAATTCCTATTGAATTTGACAATATAAAAGTTTCGTAGAACCAAACAGAATGTTTTCTTTATTATGGAGAGAGAATCTAATCAGGGTAGGCTGAGAAATGCTTTGGAAGAAAAGAGTATATATAATAAATTGATGCCAAAAAAATGAGCTCTGAAGTTTCAAAGTATGGCCCTCAGCTAAACTGTTAAGTTTTTATAGAAAATCCACAAAAACTCCAATTATTTTTGATAGCCCTAGTTGGCTCTTTCAAGGAGAGAATATCCAGATTAACCTCTTCACTAGATGCCAATTTATCAGCTAATAATTTTTTTTTATAAAAGACTCAACTAGTTTTATTGTTCCTCAACTATCTTCAAGGCTTTTTCTCTCCTCTCTTTTATAAATCTTTGATTTTGCCTTTATTTAAAAAAAAACAATAATTTTTTTAATGTTTATTTATTCTTGAGAGAGAGAGAGAGAGAGAGAGAGAGAGAGAGAGAGAGAGACAGAGCGTGAGCAGGGAAGGGGCAGACAGAGGGAGACACAGAACCCAAAGCAGGCTCCAGGCTCTGAGCTGTCAGCACAGAGCCCAACGCGGGGCTCAAACCCATGAACCATGAGATCATGACCTGAGCCAAAGTCAGATGCTTAACCAACTGAGTCACCCAACAGTAATGTAATAACTATTTCCCTTATGAGTAAATTTGCATACAATTTTTTTTAAAGATTGGTTATGAAGGGCAAAAAAGAAATAGGCCAGTAATTGGAGGGAATGTGGCATCAAATTAGAGAGACATTAGTATATTTAAAATCTGAAAGGAAGAATACAATTGGTTAGGAAAAGTTTAATATGTGAGAATGATTAATCAATTTCTTAAGATAAGATCCAAAACAAGTAAAAGAATGAGTCATATGTAAGAAGAGGAACAATATTTGTTTAATAAGAAGAAAGGAGGAGGGGCGCCTGGGTGGTGCAGTCGGTTAAGCGTCCGACTTCAGCCAGGTCACGATCTCGCGGTCCGTGAGTTCGAGCCCCGCGTCAGGCTCTGGGCTGATGGCTCAGAGCCTGGAGCCTGTTTCCGATTCTGTGTCTCCCTCTCTCTCTGCCCCTCCCCCGTTCATGCTCTGTCTCTCTCTGTCCCAAAAATAAATAAATGTTGAAAAAAAAAATTAAAAAAAAAAAAAAAGAAGAAAGGAGGAGTGAATGAGCATGGATTTAAATAAACTGTTTGGTAATTTAGGAGTTCTAACCGGTGGCTTATATATCAGGCATTTCAAGTGACTCGTTGAGAGTGTAAATGAAAATGGGACTGAGGGAATATAGGTTTGAGATGATGGCTGAAAAGGATTGAAATTCATTTCAGAAATGCAATAGAATTGCCAGGCAATATTCGAAATAATTATGTCTGAATAATCATGTCACTTTCTTCATCATTGTTTTACAACTAAGCTAAAGGCCCAAAAAGTAAATATTTGCATTTATTCAAGTTTAAGTTTTGTTAGATAAATGCAATGAAAAGAGAAAGAGGTAAACAATATTAGGAAGTTAAGAAATTCACTGTGATTAAGTACCTACTGTCTAAGCTAAAAAGAAAAATAAGTAAAAAATACTGCAGGAAGGTAAAGGAATGAATGAACCAGTAGTCTTGATGAAGTCAAAGAATGGCCAGAATAGTATTTAAAGCAATAATTGATAAGTCAGAAATTTTTAGTTCAAGAATGAGTTGCCTGGGGGTGCCTGAGTGGCTCAATCGGTTAAGCATCCAACTTCAGCTCAAGTCATGATCTGACAGTTCGTGGGTTGAAGCCCCACGTCTGGCTCTGCACTGACAGTGTGGAGCCTGCTTGGGATTCTCTCTCTTCCTCTCTCTCTCTCTCTTCCTCTCCTCCACTCATGCTCCCTCTCTCTCTTTCAAAATAAATAAATAAACTTAAAAAAAACAGCATAAAGTCTTTCCCAAAATGGAATTAAAAACCCTTAAGGTTAGAGACCGATAGTTTTCAAAATGGTCATAAAACATCTGAAAATCTAAAGTATAAAAAAAATCATGAAAATAACATTAAATTTAAATAAAACCAATATAAAATTTTATAAGTAAGCATATTATAATATCATACATGTTTTTTAAATACAGGAGAAAGGTTTAAGCTGATATAAGTTTTTCCTTGTCACTGACTCTTTTACATAAATTAGGAAAGAATGATAATTAAATTTCCATTATTTATTTTTAAGAGAAAGAATGTGTCAAACTCAGAGCATCTCAGATACATGCAGGAATGTAGTGTGTAATCAAGGAGAAACATTTTATTCTAACCTTTAGTTCCTTCTCTACCTAAGTCAAAAGATTATAAACAATAGTTATTCAAAAAATCTTAACTAATTTCAAATTGATTTTCAAATGAGACAAAATAACAATTTAATTCACAATTAAGAAATGTTATACTTACCTCCTCCATCTGATTGACCTGTAGCTGAAACCACTTAAAAAGAAAGAAAGAAAGAAAGAAATACTTATTGACAAGTTATTCAAACATGTGGGTGGGTACAGGTGTGTGTGTGTGTGTGTGTGTGTGTGTGTGTGTGTGTGTGTACTTCATCTATCAAATATTAGTCATGAACCAAACATCATTTATCCTAGGGTTCAGAATGGGGCTAATGCAACATACAACTGGAATATAACATTTTAAAATTTATATAGTTGCAAGTTTGGGAGTTCTTTTTACTTCCTCAAAACTTAGAAACCTCTTCTTCATTAGTGTGTATTTCTGTATTATAATTTCAGTAGGCTTAAACTGTAATATATTGAACATACCTTAAAAAGAGATTCCAAAATCTGGAAAATAAAGTTTTAATTAAAACATTTAAATATAAAATTATTCACTATGTTATGATATGATAAACTATTTAATTCTCTATAATTTTCAATAAGAAAAATATACAAATTATTAAAATAAAACTATAAATCTACAATCCAAGATAACATTTTTATAATTACAGATATAGTTTTTAGTACATCATGCATAGACAACTCAGTTCTAGAAAACTGTCCACCATTATATAGTATGATACCAAAAAATAATGTACATTTTTTATTTCATATATTAGTTAATATAAATAAGGAATAAAATTAAGATTCCTCTTGGAAGAGATTTTTTTCATAAAGCATAGAGTATTTTTTTCATAAAGCATAGAGTATAATAATGAAAAGCATTATCATAAGAACATTATGTCTTCAGTAAAACTTGCTCTGTTGAAGGGCCTAAAAATTGAGATACAAAATATTATACTACTACTTGATATTTTTAATAGGAAATGCATACAACTGGTTTGGGAAACTGTGACAGAAACTGAATATCCAAAATGAATCACACAATCCTAAATACCAATATTTACCACTTAGAAAATATAATGTTTAAATGATTACATTTGAAACACACACACAAAAGCCCATTCTATCACATCCAGATAAAAGTTCTGAATTACATTGTTAAAAAAAAATTACTACATTCATTAGGGCAGGAAAAAAAAGTTACTGAAGTGAAAAATCAGACTAGTCTAAAATTTTTTTTTGCCATACTAACACTAAATCAAGAGTTCAAAAAGTGTAGTCCCCAAACCAAGAGCATCAGCATCACCTAAACAATCATATTTGTTAGTAATGTAAATTCTTAGGCCGCATCCCAGCCAACTGAATCAAAAACTCTGGGAGTAGGGCCAGCAATTTTTGTTTTAACTGGCCCTCCAATTGATTTCATTGCATGCTAAAGTTTGAGAATCACTGTGCTAAATAATAAGAAATCAAAAATCTAAGCAAAAAGGGCTGAGATCCTCAACAAAAAGTACCAAAGTAAATAAATATCCATGTCTGAAGAGAAATATTTTTAGTTGCATAAGGATTTAGAAACTAATGTTCACTGAGGCACACTACCTTGGAATAAACTCATTCTTTCCACTATCAAGAGATTCCAAGGTTCTCAAAACCTCCTTTCCTATCTCAGAAGATGATAGGAAACCATCATATATCAATTCACTCATTCATTATAGCCAGAGTTCAACAATTGTTTAAACCACTAAAAGCCCAGAGAACAAAGCCTTTCTCAACTACTGAGGAAACCTACATCTTCAGTTCTAGTAATGCTGAACCTAGAACACTACTGATAAAAGTGGAGAATGAAAACTGACCAGAAGTGAGGAAAATCAATTTTACACAAACACTAAACAGAAAATGAAAATTCTATGAAAATGTAGAGGAATGTATATAAAGTTCCCAGGAAAAATATTAAACTTATATTCTAATTTTATTTATCGTTTAAATGTGAAGCCAAAATGAAACTGTTTTCAGAAATTCAAAGGCTCCCAAACGATTTCACCACACATTCTAACCTAACAAACAACAACAAAATTTATTCTTAGAAAAGTAAATGTAAGAAAAAACTATAGGCAAGGTAATCAGTATATACCTTACTCTTTTGTTTGTTCAAGTTTTTATTTAATTTCCAGTTAGTTAACATATAGTGCAATATTAGTTTCAGGAGTAGATTTAGTGATTCATCACTTACATGTAACACTCAGTGCTCATCACAAGTGTCCTCCTTAATACCCATCATCCATTTAACCCATCATCACCACACCCACGTCCTCTCCAGCAACCCTCAGTTTGCTCTCAATAGTTAGGAGTCTGGGATGCCTGGTTGGCTCAGTTGGTTAAAGTGAACAACCTTTGATTTTGGCTCAGGTCATGATCACACAGCTCATGAGACTGAGCCCAGCGTCAGGCTCTGCACTGGCAGCATAGATCCTGCCTGGGATTCTCATTCTCCCTCTCTCTCTGCCCATGCTCACTCTCACTCTTTCTCTCTTTCTCTTAAAATTAATAAACTTAAAAAAATTAAAATTGACTCTGTTTTATGGTTTGCCTCTTTCTCCCCCCTATGTTCATCTGTTTTGTTTCTGAAATTCCACATGACTGAAATCATATGGCATTCGCCTTTCTCTGACGTTTCATTTAGCATAATACTCTCTAGCTCCATCCATGTTTTAAACAAAGACTAATAAAATACAAAAAGGGCATTACGTAATAATAAAATAAAGAGAACAAACAAGAGAATATAACAATTATAAATATGAATGCACCCAAATTAGAGCACCTAAATATGTAAAGCAAATATTGACAGACATAAAGGGAGAAACTGGTTATAATACATTAATAGGAGGAGACTTTAACATCTCACTTACATCAATGGATAGATCATTCAGGTAGAAAATCAATAAGGAAACAGAATCTCTGAATGACACATTAGACTAGTTGGACATAACACATATATAAAGAACATTCCATCCAAAATAACGAAATATATATTCTTCTCAAGTGCACATGGAACATTCTCCAGAAGACATCATATTAACATATGACACAAAACAAGTCTGAATAATTTTAAAATACTGAAATCATACCATGCATCTTTTTCAACCACAGTGGTATGAAACTAGAACTCAATCATAAGACAATGAAAAGAACACAAACATGTAAAGGCTAAACAACAGGCTACTACACAACCAATGAGTCAATGAAGAAATCAAAGAAAAATGTAGAAATATATGGAGACAAATGAAAACACAATAGCCCAAAATCTTTGGGACACAGCAAAATCAGTATTAAGAGGAGATAGCAACACAGGCCTACCTCAAGAAACAAGAAAAAGCTCAAAAGCAATCTAACCTTACATTAAAATGAACTAGGAAAAGAACAAACAAAGCCCAAAGAGATTAAAAGTAAGAAAATAATAAGATCAGAGTACAAATAAATAACATAAGACTTCTTTTTTTTTTTTTTTTTTTATTTTTGGGACAGAGAGAGACAGAGCATGAACGGGGGAGGGGCAGAGAGAGAGGGAGACACAGAATCGGAAACAGGCTCCAGGCTCTGAGCCATCAGCCCAGAGCCTGACGCGGGGCTCGAACTCACGGACCGCGAGATCGTGACCTGGCTGAAGTCGGACGCTCAACCGACTGCGCCACCCAGGCGCCCCAACATAAGACTTCTTAAAAAGGAAAAGATCAATGAATGAAACCAAGAGCCGGTTTGTTAAAAAGATAAACAAAATTGATAAGCCCTTAGCCAGACTCATCAAGGAAAAAAAAAAAAAAAAGAAAAGAAAAACTCAAATAAAATCAGAAACAAAAGAGAATAAACAGCTTACACCACAGAAATACAATGCAATATAAGAGAAAACGATGAAAAATTATACACCAGCAAATTGGACAACCTAAAAGAAATAAATAAATTCTTAGAAATTGAATCAGGAAGATAGAAAAATCTGAAGGCCAATTACTAGTATACTAGTAATGAAATTGAATCAGTAATCAAAAACTTGCCAAAAAAATAAAAGTCTAGGACTAGACAGATTCATAGGTGAATTCTGCCAAGCACTTAAAGAATAGTACTTATTCTCATACTATTTCAAAAAATAGAAAAAAAAAGGAAAGTTCCCAAATTCACTTTATAAGGCCAACATAATTCTAATATCAAAATCAGACAAGGACACCACAAATAAAAAAACTATAGGTCAATATCTCTGATGAACATAGATGGAAAAATCCTCAGCAAAATACAGGCAAACCACATTCAACAATACATTAAAAGGATCATTCACTGTGATCAAGAGGAATTTATTCTGGGGGTGCAAGAATGGTTCAATATTTGCAAATCTGGGGGGCCTGGGTGGCACAGTCGGTTAAGCATCCGACTTCAGCCAGGTCACGATCTCGCGGTCCGTGAGTTCGAGCCCCGCGTCAGGCTCTGGGCTGATGGCTCAGAGCCTGGAGCCTGTTTCCGATTCTGTGTCTCCCTCTCTCTCTGCCCCTCCCCCGTTCATGCTCTGTCTCTCTCTGTCCCAAAAATAAAAAACGTTAAAAAAAAAAGAAATTTAAATATTTGCAAATCAATGTGAAACTTCATATCAACAAAAGAGAAGGATTAAAATCCATATGATCATCCCAATAGGTGCAGGAAAAGCATCTGACAAAAATCAACAGCCATTGATGATAAACTCTCAATAAAGTGGGTTTAGAAGAAGCATACATCAACATAACAAAGGCCATATAGTTAAAAAAAAGGAAAAAGAAAAGGGAAAAAAAAAACAGGGCCGGGGAACCTGAGTGGCTCAGTCAGTTAAGCAACCAACTCTTGATTTTGGCTCAGATCATGACCTCACAGTTTGTGAGATTGAGCCCCGCATCAGGCATGGAGCCTGTTTGGGATTCTCTCTCTCCTCTCTGCCCCTCCCCACTCTCAAAATAAATAGATATTAAAATTTTTTTAAATGGCTAACATCATACTCAATGAGGAAAAATTTGGAGCTTTTCCCTTAAGGTCAGGAACAAAACAGGATGTCTACTCTCACCACTATTATTCAACACAGAAAGAAGTGTTAGCTATAGCAATCAGGCAAGAAAAAAAATGCAAGGCATTCATTTTGGTAAGGAAGAAGTTAAACTGTCATTATTTCCATATGGCATAATAATACACACAGAAAACTCTAAACTATTAGAACTATTAGAAATAAGAAATTAATTCAGTAACATTGTAGTGTATAAAAATAATACTCAGAAATCTGTTTCATTTCTATAAACTTATAGAAATTAGCAGAAGGAGAAGTTAAGAGAACTTACAATTATACCAAAACAAAAACTAAATACCTAGGAATAAATTTAACAAAGGTGGTGAAAGACATGTACTATGAAAACTATAAAACACTTATGAAAGAAATGGAAGATGACACAAACAAATGTAAAGATATTCCATGCTAATGGATTGAAAGATTTAATATTCTT